ACTGCACATTTGTTTAATAGACCTTCAAGTCCTGTGTCCAATTCATTTGTGAGGATGCAGAAGAGCACTGGGCCTAAGCTGGAGCCCTGTGAACCCACTAGTGGCCAGTGCCAGCCTGATGTGGCCCCACTCACCATAACCCTTTGTGCCAGTTGCTCACCCATCTCATAGTGTGTTTGTCCAGTTTCATGCTGGACATGAAGGAAGGACTAACTCTGTTGGTCTCCTCTGTTAGCTCCTCTCTCCACAGGGTGAGTTGAAGCACAGGTGAGTTGGCCTGGCCACAGGGGCAGGTAAGGGACCTGGCTGTTTCTGAGTACAGCTGTAGCATAAGGGTCTCCATTAAATGTGCCTCTGTATCTAGATTACTCAGCAAAGATAAATTCATTTCAGCTCCTTCTTTATGAATGCTGTTTCAAAAAGCTGAATAGTGTTTTGCACTACTTAGTCCTGTAACATCAAGTTAAAATCCAATGTAATTTATTAGTGCTGTTAGGAAATTGCATTGGAGCGAAATGTAATGCAATAAGGTTTGCTGTGGTAGAGACAGTACACAATCCTTTCAGCCTTTCGCTGTCTTGGTATGGTGCCAGCAGTCCCTGTTGCATGTGGAAATTGCCCTGACTCCCAGTGGTCCCAGGAGAAAACAATATTCATTTTTTACCATTTTTTTATGGTTAGATGCACAAAATCTTTGGGATGTCAGTTTTGGTATGATGTGAACAAATATAGAGGGGAAATGCAAGCTCTGTCCATTCAGTCCATGTTTTCTGCTGTGCTGGGATCATAGAATCATAGAATTTTAGGGGTTGGAATGGAGCTCAGAGCTCACCCAGCCCCAAGCCCTGCCCTGGGCAGGGACACCTCCCACCAGAGCAGGTTGCTCAAGGCTCATCCAACCTGGCTGTGAACACTGCCAGGGCTGGGGCAGCCACAGCCTCCCTGGGCACCCTGGGACAGGGGCTCACCCCCCTCCCAGGGAAAAGATTTTTTTTCTCACATCCAACCTAAACTTTCCCTGCTTCAGTTCCAACCCCATAAATATAATTTCTCTGTATTTGTGACAAAACCAATCTCAGCTGAAAAGAAAACAAGGGTTTGGGACTCTGCAGTGGAAAAATGATTCTGTGAATGAAGATAATATTCCAGCTATTTGATGCTTCTTGTTTTCAAGGAAAGTGTACTTAATATACTGATTATGCAAATGAACAGGACGGCTGTAGAAACAGCAAATTTCATTCTCAGTATCTCCTTTTTGAAGTGTTGCAAGACTCTGAAAACTGTCTCCCCATTTAGTCAAAAGGGATAACAGC